AAGACTACATGAGGTTGGTGACACTCTCATTATCTATCTATCGGTATCGGCTTCAGCAGTAAGTTCCGTTCTCATTCAAAAGGATGGTAATATCGAACAACCTGTCTACTACGCTAGCAAGGACTTACAAGATGCGGAAACACGATACTCCAACATTGAGAAATTGGCTCTAGCATTGGTCATGTCTGTTCCAAAACTTCGCCCTTACCTCCAAGCACACTCCATCATCGTGCTTACCAATCATCCTCTTCGACAGATACTCCAAAGTCTTGACACTTCCGGACGAATGATCAAATGGGCGATAACATTGGGTGAGTTTGACATCTCCTACCAACCAAAGCCAGCTGAGAAGGGCCAAGCAGTGGCAGACTTCATCGCCGACTTCACATATCCTATTGACATTGTTTCTACACCTAAAGAAGTGGTTTCATTACCCTCGAAAGCTCAAAAAATAGAACCAACAGCCCCAGCATGGAGTCTATATGTTGATGGCTCGTCCAACCAACAGGGTTGTGGAGTAGGACTAGTCTTTACAACCCCTGACAAAGTGGCAATGGAGTATGCTCTTTGTTTCAAATTCAAGGAGTCAAACAATGAGGCCGAATATGAAGCTCTCCTAGCAGGCTTACGTTTGGCCAAACACCTTGAGGTTAAACAAATTGATATCTTTAGTGACTCCCAATTGGTGGTTAACCATGTCACTAACAACTTTGACGCTAAGGATAGCTCCATGGCAGCATATCTGGCACAAACACAATTATTGCTCAAGCACTTCCACTACCAGATCATCCAAATTCCTTGAGCGACAAACAGTTATGCAGATGCTTTGGCTCACCTTGCCTCATCGATGGAAGACAAAATTAGGAGAAAAATTCAGGTCAAATTGTTGGCAGCACCAAGCACCATGGCTACGGAAGTGTGCAACTTACAACAGGGGGATTGTTGGATTACCCGATTTATAGATTCCTTGCTCATGGTACCCTTCCAAATGACAAAGTCCAAGCTAAGCAGATTCGATACAAGGCTACCCGTTACTTGATCATTAATGACCAACTCTACAAGCAGGGTTTTAACCTACCATACCTAAGATGCCTTTCGCCTGTAGAGGCAGAAACTGTCATTCGGGAAATACATGAAGGAGTCTGCGGAGATCATGCTGGATCTCAATCCCTAGCACACAAGGCTTTTCGCCAAGGATATTACTGGCCAACACTCTACCAAGATGCCATCAGAATATCTCGCTCATATGAGAAGTGTCAACGCTGCGTAACTATTCCTCATTCCTCTTCCGAGCCGCTCACTCTTATGATCAGCCTTTGGCCCTTCGCCTAATGGGGACTTGATTTGATCGGCTCAATGCCTGCAGGGAAGGGCAAGGTTCACTATGCAATCGTTGCAGTTGACTACTTCACAAAGTAAGCCGTAGTAGAACCCTTGGCAACCATTACTGAGGCAAAAATAGAAAACTTCGTATGGAAGAACATCATTTGCAGATTTGGCATTCCCAATGCGATTGTCACTCATAACGGGCGACAGTTCAACAACAATAAGTTCAGGATGTTCTGCTCTAAGTTCAACATCAACTTATGTTTTACCTCCCCAGCTCATCCCAGTTTAATGGATAAGTTGAAGCCATTAACAAAATAATCAAGCGAACTTTGAAAACCAGCTTGGACAAGGCTAAAGGTTGTTGGCCAGAATTTGTACCCCAAGTTCTTTGGTCATACCGCACTTCGTATTAGACATCAACATGAGAAACCCCATTCTCACTTGCCTTTGGTACAGAGGCAGTTGTCCCAGTTGAGCTTGAGCAAGTAACGTTCCGAGTCCAGAACTACGTGCAAAGTGAAAATGACAAACAACTTACCCTCAACTTAGATCTAGTCGAGGAACATAGAAACCAGGCTCACTTGAGGAATGTAGCCTACAAGCAGCGCATCTCCAACTACTATGACTTAAGGGTCAAACCTCGTTCTTTCAAAGTGGAGGACTGGGTATTGGAGAAAAGATTACTCTGCGACAGAGTTTCGAGTGAAGGAACACTTAGTCCAAACTGGGATGGACCGTTTGAAGTTGTTGGCATCAGTCACCCTGGCTCCTACAAGCTTAGAAGCTCCGATGGTAAGACCCTTGGCCATCCATGGAATGCTGAATACTTGAAGTACTATTACAAGTAAACTCACATTGTACAAGTGTTAAGCTTCAGCCGTTCGGCATCCTATGTAACGAAAACTATTTGGCATGAATTCAATAAAGAGGTGATTTAGACAACTCGGTCCTAATCCTTTTACATTCCTAACAATGAAACACTCGGGTTCAAAGCTTCAACATGAATGCTTCCAACATGAAACAAAGTCTAAGTATATGTCAACAAGATTATACAAATAAACGAACAGCTTCACAATATATTCGTTCAATCATACATTCCAACACATTCATACATAAGCCAACTGTGCTTTGAAAGGGTTCAACATACTTTGTGTCATTCGACACTTGCTACAATGTGTCTAGACACCTTGCCCTTATTTTCACCAACTAGGTGATGAAATGTGAAGAAGGAACTCATCTTCATGCCACCAACCATGTGATGAAATGTACAACCTGTACTCTAATATCATTTGGCAACTTGCCACTCATGCCACCAACCAGGTGAAGAAGGAACTCATCTTTATGCAAATGTTGATGCACAAAATCGGAGGTCTTGGAACAACGTAAATCCGACCGTGAATCTGCGAGAAAGTAAATAACATAAGATGTATCGTGGTTCACCCCAAGGTTTGGGCTACGTCCACACTGATTATTGTATTTATTTGAAAGGTAAGGGAAAGAACCTCTGTAGTGTGAGAGGGGATGTGAGGAGGCGTCTGAGGGTAAGAGGGCCTAGGAATTGGCCTTCCCTAATTGTGAGGGTGATGAGTCTTTTTATAGAATAAGAGTTCCTCACTTATTACATATTTGCCCCTTCCCTTATTACATAATTACATTTAAGTCCCCTGAGTATTTGTACGAGATCTAAATACGGAGGCCCTAAGTATGGTATAAACAGTGGTCCCCTAAGTTTTTAGTCAATAGAGTCTTTTGGCTGGAGACTTGAAATTTAGTCCATGTGTGGGCCGAAGTAACTAGATGTTGTCTAGAACTGATGCTCGATATGAGGCGGTGCCCAATCTGAAATGATGCTCAACTAGAAGTAGCACATGTTGCAAGGCTGCTCTGCTTGTGTTGCCTTGGTTGGCTCGGCTTGTGGCGTTGAAGGTGAGATAGTCCCTTTTATAGAATAAGGGCTCGCTTCTCATTACAAAAATGATGGGTTAGAGTTGGTGCTCACGGTGAGGCGATTGCTCAGCTGGCGACGATGCTTTCTAATGAAGGTGAGTAAGTCCCTTTTATAAAATAAGGGCTCGCTCCTCAATACATAAATGATGGGCTAGGAGTGATGCTTGCGGCGAGGCGGTTGCTTAGTTGGCGGCGATGCTCTGTAATGAAGGTGAGGGAGTCCCTTTTATAAAATAAGGGCTCGCCCCTCAGTACATGAATAATGGGTTAGGAATGATGCTCGCGGCGAGGTGGTTGCTCAGCTGGCAGCGATGCTCTCTAATGAAGGTGAGGGAGTCCCTTTTATAAAATAAGGGCTCGCTCCTCAGTACATGAATAATGGGCTAAGTCCCCCAAGTATTTTTATGAGGCCCAGTTGAGGCCTAATATATGGTACATAATGTAGTCCCCCAAGTCTTCGGTCAATAGAGGCTGTTGGCTGAAGACTTCAAATTCAATCCATGTATGGGCCGAAATGGCGGTTGTTCGGAGGCGGTCTTTGTAGACCATGCACTGAAACTTTGTAGGTGAAGCTTTGCAAGTTGAAACTTTGAAGCTCGAGCTCTGTAAATGAAGCTTTTGAAGCTAGAGCTCTGTAAATGAAGCTTTTGAAGCTAGAGCTCTGTAAATGACACTTTTGAAGCTAGAGCTCTGTAAATGAAGCTTTTGAAGCTAGAGCTCTGTAAATGAAGCTTTTGAAACTAGAGCTTTTGTAAATGAAGCTTTTGAAGCTAGAGCTCTGTAAATGAAGCTTTTGAAGCTAGAGCTTTTGTAAAAGAAGCTTTTGAAGCTGATTACATAAGTGATGCTCATGGATGTTGACGTGAGTGATGCTCATGAATGTTTATATATGATTGAATGAGTGATGTTCATGAATGTTTATGTATGATTGACATAAGTAATGCTCATGAATGTTTATGTATGGTTGACATGAGTAATGCTCATGTATAATTTGAAGTACTGGGCGTACTTTTGATCACCTGGTTGGTGGTAATAGCTGCAGGTTGCTGAATAATTTTGGAGTATTGGGGGTACTTTTGATCACCTGGTTGGTGGTAATAGCGACAGGTTGTCGAATAATTTTGGAGTACTGGGCGTACTTTTGATCACCTGGTTGGTGCTATTTTGGGCTTATGGGCCTTCGTCATCCATAACATGCTAGCCCATTTATTTTGGGCTTTGCCGGATTTTTTTTTTACTATTATCCTCTGATGAGGTTTATACAGATGTCTCTGAAAGATAGGAAAAATAAATTACATCATACAGAAACAAGAAAAGTAAATCACATCATTCTGGTGGGGTGTTTATTCCTTGCTTTTGCTTTCTCTTTTGCTTTTGTTTTTCTGCTTTTACTTTTGCTTTCCTTCTTTGCTTTTGCTTTCCCATGTGCTCTTTTCTTTTCTGCTTTTGTCACTCCATTTCTTTGCCCACCCATGTTCCCCATCTCTGTCTGATGCAATCCTTTAGGTGTAGTTTTTGATAATCTCCAAATCCTTAATGTAAGATCATCACTGCAGGTAATCATTTTGTCTCCGTTTTGCTGTCATGCATGTGCAGACATCAACATGGCCTGTTATCTTTGGCGGGGTCGGTTAATAATGGTGAGCTCAGCCAAAAAGTCGTCTTCACCCTGGATATTATCCCGGGATGCTTTCTTCACCGCCACCTCCAAATTCTCTCCATTCCCTGCGATTTCACCACCCAGCCATTGATGGAGGAAGATGAGAAGGTGGTCAAGTCCGTCGTGGCGGGAACCATCCCTTCGTACTCTCTGGAGTCAAAGCTCGGAGATTGCAAGAGGGTAGTAGCTATCAGTCGCGAGGTGCTGCAGAGGATTACAGGGAAGTCTCTCACTGGTCTGCCATTGGAGGGTTTCGATTACGAGTCAATTTTGGGTCAGTGCTGCGAGATGCCAGTTAGGTACGTTCAGATTCCAGTTGGGATTGCCAGGCCTCTTATGCTCAACGGTAGAGAGTTCTATGTGCCAATAACCACCACCGAAGGTTGCTTGGTTGCTGGCACCAACCGTGGCTGCAAAGCTATCAACTTGTCCGACAGAGCCACTAGTGTGTTGCTGAGAGACGGGATGACCAGAGAGCCTTGTGTGAGGTTCAACTCTACTAAGAGAGCTGCCGAATTGAAGTTCTACTTGGAAGACCCCAAAGAAGAACATAAACAAGGTTTTCATTGATATCCATCAGAGCATTATGGATGTTCATGTCGGATTCCTGAGCAGCTATTCCAATAGAGTACCACCCCAGTATGTAAAAGTACGGGAACACCTTCTTATAGAGCTCTTGCTTCTTCTCGAGGAAGGCGCGGTCGAGGCAGTGAGTTGCAAGATCATAGAGGAGTTCGAAGCCATTGAAGATCTCGACCGTGCAGCCCTTATGGACCCCAATAACGCAATCGAAGACTCGCGGACACGAGGAGAAGGAAGAAGAGGAGGGTGAAGGCCCATAAGCCCAAAATAGCACCAACCAGGTGACCAAAACTACGTCCAGTATTACAAAAATTATTCGGCACCCTGCCACTATTATCACCAACCAGGTGACCAAAAGTACGCTCAGTACTACAAAAATTATTCGGCACCTTGCCACTATTATCGCCAACCAGGTGATCAAAAGTATGCCCAGTACTCTAAAAAATTATTCGGTAGCCTGCCGCTATTATGACCAACCAGGTGATCGAAAGTACGTCCAATACTCCAAAATTATACATGAACATCACTCATGTCAATCATACATAAACATTCATGAGCATCACTCATGACAATCATACATAAACATTCATGACCATCATTCATGTCAACATTCATGAGAATCACTCATGTCAACATCCATGAGCATCACTCATGTCAATCAACATAAACATTCATGAGCATCACTCATGTCAATCTAGCTTTAAAAGCTTCATTTATAGAGCTCTAGCTTCAAAAGCTTTATTTACAGAGCTCTAGCTTCAAAAGCTTCATTTACAAAAGCTCTAGCTTTAAAAGCTTCATTTACAAAGCTCTAGCTTCAAAAGCTTCATTTACAAAGCTCCAGCTTCAAAAAGCTTCACTTGCAAAGCTTCACCTACAAAGCTTCAGTGCAGGGTATACAAATACCACCTCTGAACAATTACCACTTCGGCCCATACATGGATTCAATTTGAAGTCTCCAGCCAACAGACTCTATTAATCGAAGACTTGGGGGACTACACTTTACACCATATATTGGGCCTCAACTGGGCCTCATGAAAAATACTTGCGGGACTTAGCCCATTATTTATGTATTGAGGAGCGAGCCCTTATTCTATAAAAAAGACTCCCTCACTTTCATTAGAGAGCACTCATGAAAAATACTTGGGGGACTTAGCCCATTATTTATGTATTGAGGAGCAAGCCCTTATTCTATAAAAGGGACTCCCTCACTTTCATTAGAGAGCATCCATTATTCATGTACTGAGGAGCGACCCCTTATTTTATAAAAGGGACTCCCTCACCTTCATTAGAGGGTATCACCGCCAGCTGAGCAACCGTCTCGCCGCGAGCATCACTCCTAACCCATCAGTTATGTATTGAGGAGTGAGCCCTTATTCTATAAAAGGGACTCCCTCACTAGAGAGTATCAACTCTAGCCCATCATTCATGTATTGAGGAGCGAGCCCTTGTTCTATAAAAGGGACTCCCTCACCTTCAACGCCACAAGCTGAGCCAACCGAGGCAACATAAGCCACGAGCCTAACAGCCTCGCAGCATGTGCTACTTCTAGTTGAGCATCATTTCAGATTAAGCACCACCTCATATCGAGCATCAGTTTAAGACAACATCTAGTTACTTCGGCCCACACATGGACTGAATTTCAAGTCTCCAGCCAAAAGACTCTCTTGATTGAAGACTTGGGGGGACTACTGTTTATACCATACTTAAGGCCTCCGTATTTAAATCTCGTACAAATACTCGGGGGACTTAAATGTAATTATGTAATAAAGAAAGGGGCAAATATGTAATAAGTGAGGAGCCCTTATTCTATAAAAGGACTCATCACCTTCACAATTAGGGGAGGCCATTTTCTTAGGCCATGGGAAGAGTTTTCTCACCCTTAGAAGCTTTCTCCCTCACTCCCCTCACCTCTCAGAGAAGTACAATATCAGTGTGGACGTAGCCCAAACCTTGGGGTGAACCACGATACATCTTGTGTTATTTACATTTTTGCAGATTCACGGTCGGATTTACATTGTCCCAAGACCTTCGGTTTTACTGTTTGTACCATACTTGACCAATCCCGAAACTACTGAGCACCGGTCAACGTTATACCGTCAAGGACCCAGAAGAGTTTCCCTCCAACCAGGAGGCCAATCATAGCGCGACACGTGTCAACATCAGAAGCCAATCACAACATGACACGTGTCAATGTCAGAATGAAACTAGAAACTCTCTTTTGTAAATAGAAATCATTCTCTCACTATATTTGCTAATGTCATTTATACTAAATCATTCATTAGTACTCACTAAATGAGAGCTTGAACCTATGTACTTGTGTAAACCCTTCACAATTAATGAGAACTCCTTTACTTCGTGGACGTAGCCAATCTGGGTGAACCACGTACATCTTGTGTTTACTTCCTAGTCCCTATCCATTTACTTACTTATCCACACTATCCACCTCCTTGGTACAACAGAAAGTGTTAAGTTTGTGACCTTCGCTAGATTGCTCCGGTCACTAGTGTGGATAAGTAAGTAAATGGATAGGGACATGGAAGCAAACACAACATGTACGTGGTTCACCCAGATTGGCTACGTCCACGGAGTAGATGAGTTCTTATTAATTGTGAAGGGTTTACACAAGTGCATAGGTTCAAGCTCTCCTTTAGTGAGTACTAGTGAATGATTTAGTACAAATGACATTAGGAAATATTGTAAGAGAATGATCTCTATTTATAGAAGAGAGTTTCTAGTTTCATTCTGACATTGACACGTGTCGTGTTGTGACTGGCTTCTGATGTTGACACGTGTCGCGCTATGATTGGCTTCTGATGTCGACACGTGTCGTGCTGTGATTGGCCTCCTAGTTGGAGGGAAACTCTTCTGGGTCCTTGATGGTATAACGTTGATCGGTGCTCAGTAGTTTCGGGATTGGTCAAGTATGGTACAAACACTTAGCATTAATTTATTGATTATTTTGGTAGAACTTTGATACTTTGTTATATATTTTTAATGTAGGACATTTGATTTCCTTTGGAGAAAAAAGTAACCAAACGGATGAATTTTGGAGTGATTTAAATTGGAGGATGTTCGTGAGTCTTTCAAGATGATTGCATCAAAATTCCATATTTTTACCTAGCCAGTTAACCATGGTGAAGAAATAAAAGCCCAGCGTGCAGCTTTCCCATATTGACATTTCTGGACATTTTGGGTATTTTGAAGGTCAAGACGGCATATTTTGAGGAAGATTCCTTCTGAGGATTTGTAGGTGACGTCTTCAAATTTCAAAATAGACCTTTTAGGACCAAATCGGAGTTGATTTGGTCAGTCAAAAGACTAAATTTCTGAGAATTCCGAATTTCAGTTCAAATAGGAAACCTTTTATTTTTTGTTTTATTATTTTATTATGTTTCCTAGTTTTATTTTAAGACCTTTTAGGGTTTTATTTTGTAGTAGTATAAATAAGGGTTTTTAGCCATTAGGTTTAAAGAGGGGAGAAAACGCATGCACACTTTAGAGAGCTTTTGGATTCAAGTTTATTTTCAAGGTGTTTTCTATCCATGTTTTTAATAGTATTTTATTTTATGATTGTTCGTAACTAGTTTCGTTTGCTAGGGCGAGGCCACGAGCCTTAGCAAGAATATGTAGTTCTTTTCAATTTGCTTATGATATTATGCATGCAAGTTTTGAATTATTAATCACTGTGCTTTAAACTATCTAATTGTCTTGATGGTTGGCCACCATTACGATATCTAGAAAAGTAATTTGATGCAATTTTGGCGGAGGGCTGTCCTTGAAATTGACGTTGGCTTCTTGTGGTTAATATGTGTAACTTCTTAGGATAGACGACACATCTTAAGGGTTACATGGTTTTTCAAAAGGTTTTCACAAAACTTAATGAGTCTTGCATGTTCACATTCGATCTGGACCATGGACGGGTTGCATGTTAGATATATGTTCTATGTTAGAGGTTCAAAGTAGGGCATACTTTAGGAAAACCTAACCTTCAAAATATGCATGTGTAATTCATAAGTAATTGGAAGAACTACGTAGGATTGTTAAGGTGACGGCGGAACCCTAGTGCTCAAATTTATTTTCAAAACTATTTTCTTTTGTTTTATTTAAATTGCTAATTTATTTAATTGTTTTTAATTAAATCCGTTTTTAAAATTTTAGGTCATAAAATCACTTTTTTTTCAAACTTTGTTTTCAAATAATTAATCAAGATTTGGTTTTAACATAAATTATTCATTCAATCCTTGTGGAAAACGAACTTGCTTGAGCTGCTATACCACGACAACCTTGTACTTTTCCAGGAGCATATCAATATGAGAAACAACTTAGAAAGAAATTGGAACAATCCATATTCAGAGTTTTATACCCCAAGTTTGCAAAAGCATCTTGAGCACTAGTTTGAGCAGTTTAATGTACCACAAGAGCTCTTGGTAGAGGACAAACTCTCTAAATTGTTGAAATCAACTGAGTTGTACATTGAAATAACCAATCAAGGGTTTCAAATTCAAGCATTAAACCATGAGAATAGTTTTGATGATGAAGGGGAGATTGGTGAAGGAACTGAGAGAAATATGCTACTTGCTTACGCCCCAAGGAGGAAGCAGCACATGATAATACAAAAATTCTCCCAGATCCTTTGGCTACCCAAGTTCATGTCCCATAAAGCCTACAAGAAGACATGAGTGTTAATATGCTAGGGGAGGTTCACATAAATTTAACATCTAATATGTCGCATGATCAGCTCTCTAACACACATATCGACTTAGATACAGGGCAGATGACTTATACAATTTATGTTGCTGAATTGACAGTCTAGCAGTACAAGCATTCAAATTTAAAGAAAATCTAGGCGAGTCCTACAAGCAAGCTAAAATCTACAAGGAAAATAAGCATAAAGAGCTTAATGGCAGCCAAATTCCTCATCAAGAAATCCAGTCAGTGCATAAATTGTGTGTGTTAAATACAAGGTTTAAGTTAGTTCGACGAAG